AGTTGAATCTGCCATCCTCCCATGCAAAAAAAAGTACATAAACTTAGCTAGTGCTAAAAGTTACATTGTTACACTGATCTATCAATCAACATTAATTTTTGTTTAATTATTGGTTTTTTCTGTAGGCATTCTCATAGAGATATTTTTATAATTATTATGAACTTTTTTTTTGGTCGAACATAATTATTATTAGTTAATTAGTACGACCCAAGAAAAAGAAGCCGAAGTAAGGGTAAAAAGTTTCAAAGAGAAGGGAGAGTGGCCTCGCAAACGATAAAAAGTTTCTTTTTTTTTCCTCCTTTAATGTATGGGGATGATAAAAAGATGTACAAATGAAGTGATTAGTGCTGGAACTTTAGACGGGTCGCCCGCGACCGTCCGAAAATACTGAGTTTTTGCTCGAGCCCGAGCCCGACCCACCTGAAAAATTCAGGCCGCCTGCCCGAGCCCGAAAATGCCCTTGAACGGACCGCGGGCTTATATTTGGCTGTCCGAATCCGGCCGGGCTGCCCGAGCCCACCCAAATAGGCCGAAATTTTTTTAATATTTTTTAATATTTATAATTATTAAGTTAGTTTGTGTTAAAATTATATAAAAATCAAAATCAACGGGAATACCACTATAACCAAAAGGATCCATTACAAAAAAATAAGAGCGATTTGAGAGAGAGAGCTTTAGGATAATGTGATAGTTTTTAGAAAATTTGTGAGAGTTTTTAGAGATTGAGAGAGATTGAGAGAAATTGAGAGGGATTGAGAGAGTTTGAGTGAGAAAAATGTGTGGGGGATGGAGGGGTATTTATAGGGAAATTTTTAGGTTAAAAAATTGATTTTTTTAAAAAATTCAGGGTGCAACGGCTACTTTAGGAATCAGCGTGTCAGGTTCGGGCGGCTACGGTCAAACAACTAGCCATTGGACGGGTTTTCGGGCAAAATTTGGGTTTTCGGGCTTATTTTCTGGTCGGGCACCAACGGTTAGAATTTTGACCGTTTTTCGAGCAATTCAGGCACTCGGGCGGTTTGGGCAATTCAGGCTTGGCCGGAAAAATTAAAAAAAAAAAAACTCCGACGGACGGCGGTTAACGGCGCCTACACGGCGGCGGGCTCCGGCGTGGTGACCAAATTCGGGCTACCCGAGCCCGAGCCCGAATTTTCAAGTTTGGACAAGCTAGCATATGGGCCTGCCCACCGAACCCGAAAAATTCAGGCAGCAGGCCTACACGCCGGCCCAAAGTTCCACCACTAAAAGTGACTAGGATATTGTGCCAATTGTCTCATATGTCCAATTCATGTTGTAAGATTTAGGACTAGAGATTTCATCTTCTCCTTCTTTTTTATTTATTAATTTATTTTTTTTGCGTTGTAGTCTTTAGTCCTAGAAACTTTTTTTTTTTTTTTTTGCTTGAAATTAACTAAAGATTTCAAGGGAAAAAAATCTAGGACTAAAGACTACAACGAAAAAAAAAAGAAGAGAAGATGAAAAAGCCTTCAAATAGGGGGGAAAAAAAGGTAAAGAGTTAGGCCTTGTTCCGCAGAGTGGTTTTTGAGTGAAAAACTCAAAAAAAAGTAACTCGAGTTATAACTTTATTCGAGTTCATGTTCTTTTAAGTTTGAACTTGATTTTGAACTCGAGTTTGAAACTAAAACTTGAGTTCAAGTTTCTCCTTCAACTCGAGTTCAAAAACTCGAACTCAAGTTAATGAATAGTATTTTTTCTATTCTTAAAAATGATATAACTTTTTCGTTTTAATTCTAATTGAGATGATTTTTTTCTATGCGTTAACAATAAAAAGACGAATAAAATTAGACCCATATACCCTATTAAAATTTTCATCAACATTGAGTTTTTATTAAAATACTATCTAAATACAAATTCAAGTTTTAACTTACTCAAACACAAACTCAAAAAAGATTCTTATCTCAAACCATAACTCAAATGTACACAACCAAACACAAACTCAAATTACAACTTCAATTCAAATTATAACTCAAACTCAACTCAAAATCTACACTCAAATTACCTAACTGAAAAATATCAAAAGAACAAACCCTTAGAGTATACTGTGTACTCTACAGTTGTCAAGCATTACGCAATATGTTAGGGTCCACTCCACTCTTTTAAATGACTAGTTTTGAAAATAAATATATGAATGAAAATAAAAATTAACCTTCTTTTTTAAGCTTGAAATAAGGGGAAAAAAAAAAAACATAGGTAACAAGTAAACGAAAAAGTGAAAAGTATAAATGGTTAGGGGCATAAAAAAAAGAAAAATATTCCATAATAGCTGCCTAATAGATATTTATTATTTTGGTGTATGTAATATGTTAAGGGAATATATATGTTACAGGACAATCAATTATGTGATTAATATTCTTTTTTTTGGCAAAACAATTATGTGATTAATATTCTTTGATTAGCTAAACAATTATGTGATTAATATTCTTTGATTAGCAAAATGTGATTAATATTCATAAATGACGAATGATGTGTCTAGGGGAAGAAAAAATAAAAAATAGCTTAGGTGCCACTTGCTTATATTAAAATGAGAAAAATACGTCATAATTTTGTATTAAGTTTAAAAATAAAAAAAGGTTGTCCGAGTATTAGGAAAGGTTCCTTCAATTTACTAATTATACAAAAAATATTCTATAAAGGATTGTTTTTCCCTCTTTGATAAATTCTATTGTTGTGTGGGAAAATGTGGCGGACGCGTGGGCAAAGTATACCGCGACACGTGGCCTTGATTAATCCCCATCAAGCAAGGAACCCTCGACGCTTGCAGACTCATCATACCCCGCTGCGAAGGCCCAAGGACGAAGTCCAAGTTAGGGCGACGATCTTTTGTGGCGTCGACCGATTGCGCCGTCGACGCTAAGGGATGAAGATCTCTCGACCGCAGAAAGGGCTATCGAAGAAGGCGGTTGGGCTAAGAAGTGCTGACGACGAGAGGAACGTTCTTTAGAGGACATAACGGGTTACGTGCAAAAGTGGAGGTGGTCTGCAAGCATTAATTGCGAACTGTCAGACCGCTCTCACAGGGGACAAGAAAGTATTACGGGGAAGCACAGAACCGTAATAGAAGACTAATTAGCTGAGTGAACAGTGCTAATTAGTGGGCTACGTCTGGGCCTACCGAAGGAGAGCACTTAACCCCCTGGGTGAAGAAAGCCCAATATAAAAGGAAAAAGACCCCTAGCAAGGAGGAGGTTGAAAAAAAAAAACTCTAGCTGAGAACAAAAATTGTAAATTGTAACTTACCCCAAACAAAGAAATACAAGATTACCGTGGATGTAGCTCTAAAATTTATAGAGTGAACCACTATAAATTTCCTGGCGTCATTTACATATTCGATTCTCTTAGTAAATACATGCAAACACATATCCATCAATTCCTGATACGTAAACACACACACACGATCGGTAATCCGAGGGAAAACCGAGAGGTAATCCGGTCGGTTTTTTGTTAGTGAAATTTGACCATCAACATCTATCAATGATGTTTAATAATCCCTTAATTACCTTATAATGAAAACAAGCCAAAGAAATTTTAGCTAAAAGATAAAAGAGCCAGAGAAGGGAGAAAAAGAAAATGGCACATTTTTTAAGAGGAAAAAAAAAACAGATAGAAAGTTCTTTTAATAATTTTAAATTTTTAAAATAATTAAAAATAAATTAACATTTTTAATTTAGTCGGTGGCTTTTACTTTGAAAAGGACTGAACCGATTATGACCATCCTTACTTTAAAATAAGAGAGAAAGAGAATCGTTTTAAAAAATGCATCCTAAGGTATCAAACATTTATTGTGTCAGATAAAAGATTGGAACCACTACAAAATTATTGCTCTTAAAATAATTGATCAATATAGCAGAATTTTGAACCATTACATTTTCATTAAATTGCATTAAAATAATCATATATTTCTTAATTCAAAACATCAAGCATTTATTAACTGGGCATAGAAGTGTGGGACCACATGACCCACTATTTAGTTTGTTGAGACTCAATTTATGATTGACATAGTCTGTAAAAGTACATTTATATTTAAAAAAATTGTAATAAAAAATAGTTTTTCAAAATTAAATTAAATAAATAATAAAACGACCTCATAATCTTTTTATTTATAGTTGATTTACATGAAAAAAAAAAGATTTTTTGCTACATAATTTTTTTATGATTGAATTTACGTGGTTAAATAATTTTTTACAAGATAAATTTTTAATTTATTACTATTTATTTTTAATAATTTTTAAATTTACCATTTGCTTTAATTATTTACCGTAAATCTGTCATTTACTTCATTCTCTTTTTTTAAACGGAGCTTTCTATAACAGGAGTAATAACTATTGGTAGTGCATGTTCAATTTATTTTAAATACCCTAGTATTTCTATTTCGTGTGTATCATTACTACATATATGCAAAACCATTCCACAAATTTAGAAATACACAACACTAAAATTTTCAAAATAAAGTATGCAACTCTATTTACCTAGTGAACCTACTTTTTATACTATGTGCTTTTTATTTAGGAAATGCATGAACACTTAACATACATAATTAAAGAGCTTATAACTAGTATAATAAACTTATGATATTTGCTTATAAATATTAAAACAAAAACAACAAATATATGAATTATTAAGAGCGCAATACTACATTCTCAAAAAAAAAAAAAAAAAAAAAAAAAAAAAAAAAAAAAAAAAAAGTTCCATTTTAATGCAGCACGATTCTTTTAGAAAACTCTATGAATCTGGGTGTTTTATATATCAGAGTAAAATTTATCTTTCCAAATCAAACATCTCATTAAATTTCAACTTACCAAAACAACCAAAAGTTAATTTTAACCAAATCAATCCGAATTGATTGTCTTAAAACATTTTCTACAAAAACTCCCATAAATGACTCCTTGCTGCAAATCAAAATTTTCTCAAATCATTCTATCAAAATCCAAGTTTTCAAAACAAGCACAAATAGACTCATAAAAATAGGATTCCTGCACGAAACCAATCTCCAAATCATATCACAACTGCAAATCAATATGCAAATCAATCTAAAATTCAAATCGCCAGCTGTCAGTACATTGCGTATTTTGTTACAACAAAAATGGCAGCAATACTAGAAAGATGTAGAAAATCATGTTCAAATTTCACCAGAGAAAAACAGCTGGACAATGCTCCATGAATCTGGCCATATATACAGAAATATACGAATATCTTCTTGCAGGAGATTTCCATCAATCATAGAGATTTCATATAACGATCAGATCAATTTCAACAATCAAAAAGATCTCACAATCAGCCCAAGTTGACATCTTCAAAAAGGAAATACTCACAATCAGATTTCTCCAAATTCAAGATTTACCAAAAATGAATTGAATTGACAAAACATGCCAATTAATAAAAATCCCAACATAATTTTTTTAGGGTTACACAATACTCAAATTTTAAATTATTAGGGGGAAAAAAAAAAGTTCTACCACGCACTTGCGAGCCATGTTCAAAAAACAAAAAAATCTTAACAAGTGGGAGGTGAAGAATGAACTACAAATGACATTACAGTTATTTTTCCCTAAAAGAATGACAATAAAGGTGTTTCATGACAAGGTTTCTCTATGTATGAGAAGAAAAAATATTACAAAGTTTAATTTTGCTTGTACCAATGCTGGTGCAGTCGTCTTATATTGCTGGCTTGGCATTGTAGTAAAAACACATCTCGTATACAGAGCATCTTATAGTTATAGACTAGCCAAAAGCCCGCACATTGTTGCGGGAAATACTGTTGTATTGTACAAAAAATTAAAAATTTTTATAGTATAGGGCTAGTTTATATATACATATATAAATAGGTAAAGTTTCCAATTCAGTACCGGATTAGAGCGACACATGTATATTTTCTTTAAAAACATGTATATTTCCTCTAAAAACATGTATATTTTCTTTAAAAACATGTATATAGGTGTTTAGATAAATTATAAGTGTCTCATCACATTATACATGTTTTAAGAGGAAATATACATGTTTTAAGGAAATATACATGTATCACTCCAATCCGGTATCAAATTAGAGACAATTCCTATATACATATAGATATATCTATATAATAATGTAGTGTAAATAAAAAAAAAACATACCATATAGACAAATAAGTTTTGATTTGAATAGTAAACGCAAAGAGAACAAAAAATCCAAACATAATATATATACATACATGTGTATATATATATAGAGAGAGAAAGAAATACCTGATTGAAGAAGCTGAAGCGATCTCAGAGTCAATGTGTGAGAGACTGTGAGAGTGAAATAGAATCAAAGAGCGAAGGGATTTGTGCTTGAAAATTCACAACTGCCCACACAAAAAAGCCAACTTAGAAGAAGACAAAATGAAGTGAAGAGATTAGCACTAAAACAGTCTAAAACTTTATAGAAAATACGCTGACAATATACATATAATTCATCAATGAGAACTTCTAAAACAAAATAAATAAACAGAAAAATAATTCCACAACAATCAGATTCGTTTTCTCATTCATTTTCTCTCATCTTTTGGTTTAGAAAAAAAAAAAAAAGAGTGAAAGAAAGTAAACACCAAATAGAGAAAATGGAAGCTTACAGTGCGAAGTAGAGACGTCCCGTCCCTTTCTCAAGCATTCTTGATAGCCTGATAACAAAACCAACAAATCCCATCAATTTTCAATTCAAAACCAAGCTTTTATATTCCACCTAATTTCAGAATTTAAAATAATAAAAAAATCTCCTCAAGCGTCTTTTGCTTAGCTTCTACTTCACTCAAATCCCTAAGAAAGTTAAGAAAAACACAGTTGTTGAAACAAAAATTCAACGTACAGTAGAACCTTTTCAACACAATCTAACTTGTAATTTAAATAACATCAGTATTTGTGAAGCAAACCTTCCAATTGTTTGGCTCACACAGCAACAACACTTTGCACATAAACCATACTCCTTGGCACAACCTAACAACAAAACGAACATAACACACACATTATAAAAACAACTGTAACTTTAATTTTAGAGCAAACATTTAAACAGAAATAAAGGGCAAAAAGCCTGTAATTTAGAAACTAACCGTGACAGAAATTATGGTAAGCCTAACGTACATTACGTTTTGAACAACGTTAGCTGGAACGTTTCAATTGTCACTTTACACATAACTAACCAATCAATACAAAAAATGAATAAAAAAGAAAAAAAAAAAGATCAACATAATAGACATCAAAGCATTTGATGTACTATTTGATCGGTTGATGAGTCCAATATAATAGAGATCAACGCATCTAAGCATGCCTCTTGTTCAAGTACTCCCCTAGTTGATAATATGTTCATCAAATTACACTAAAAAGTGGATCATTCCAATCCTATTTTTTAAAGAAAACCACAGAAAACCAATTCAAGAAAAAAAAAACAAAAAATTTAACAAAAAAAGTTGTATTTGACTTTCATCCATCTTCAAGATTTATTCCAACT